GGTTGTGGCCTCACGATTTCAGTCCGCTCTGGATTTGAGAATTTGGGGGGGCCCGCTGGCAAGGCTGCGAATCCATCACATCAAAGACTCAAACCAGTAGGGGAGTAGGGCCTGCCACCCACGAATCTCTCCACCAAAGCCCAAATGAAATGGCACGGCTGCAACAGATGGTGCTCCATGGGAAATCGGCAGCGACCGGTGACCCTTTCCAATCACAAGGACCAAAAGTTCCGAACAAACCAGTCCCAGAAATCTCTGCCATCAACGTCCTCCGTGGCATTGCCATCATCCTGGCTTGCCATCATCCTGGATCATGGGATCACCTGCCAGGCCACAGTTTTGGGATTCAAGTCAACTTCAAAACGGTTCAAAAACGGGGTATCGGGATGTCTTGGGGCTCTCGGTTCTTCACTGGGATGAGCTCTCGGAATGTGATGGGCACTATCGGCATGACATACAGCGGTTGGTCTCTGAAGGTATGGTGATCGTGACCAAGACTTGTGGATTTGGGGGTTGAAGGTTCTTGAGGTCAACCAGACAGGTCATGGGGGTGGGGGCCTGGAGAACACCAAGCAAGATAGATTAACAAATGGATTTGGATAGCATTGGGTGCATTCAAGCTTCATTTTGGTTTGAAGGATCAACATCCAAAAAAGATCAAAAAAAGTGCTCCAATGGTTTATACTTTATAGCAATGATGTTCAAGGTGTGGTTAGTGTTGGAATCTGGCAGGCACGAACCATGATCTGCCGTCGCTCTCTGATGATCTGCAGCGGATGATGTTGGTCGAACAGCTCACCGAAGTGGTGCAAATAAGTAGGAAGCCGCAACCCTCTCGGTTCGCATGGTCCGAACTCGTCCTTCCCTACAAGTGCCCCTGCTGAGGTAGATGACGGCCAGTGAAACCGAGGTACTGATAAAAGTGCTGGACCGTTCGGGCATAACCCCCCCCCAGTATACATGATGATCACCACCTCAGATCCTTCAGGAAAAGCCAAAACACGATCCATGACAATGAGTATGGATGCTAGGTCAACCATGCGCAGTTGGAAAACATCAACGATAATCTTCGCCAATACACGTTGCCTGCGAGTAGTGGGGCCAGAGCTTGGACCATAGGACAAGATTTCTTGCATCGCTTCGTCAAAGGAAGGTATCCGGATTCCACTCAAATTGCGAGACTGAGTCCGGACGGACAAGCTGGGCATCTCCTTCGCTCTCCGCGGCGGATTGGGATGGTTCGCGTCGGTGTCCTCGGGGATGTCGCGGTGGCCTCGCGAGCCGCGTGGTCCTTCTCCTTGACATCCTTGGAAATGCTGAAGTGAGCTGGAAAAACGTTAAAATGGATGGGGGTCCCTCAAATCAGCGGAAAAACGCAATGTCATAAGAAGAACTCCAAGCACACCTAGCATCTTCCAAGAGATTCTCCGTGACTTTCAAGCACCATTGCTGTGCTTTCTCCGCCAGCGCCGTCTCACGCGTTCCGCCAGCTCCTGGGCGGCCCTTGCGCGCTCATCCGCGCTCATCCGCGCTCATCCGCGCCCCGCCCTGGGATCGGTTGGGTCGTATCGGTGCGGAGAGAAGTACAGCAACTCCGCCTTTTTTTCCACCAAAGAATGCTTCCCTATGAAGCGCATGAAGGCACCAAATAGCGCACATGTACGCCACATGATCCATGCCGACCCGTTTTGACACGAGGTGCTGGCAGCTGGCAGCTGCAGCTCCAACCACTCTTCTTCCAGATCCCTGAGCTGACCGTCCGGCACAAGGCATTGAGCTCCGGGTTTCCGAGTTCTCTCAACTCGAAGAAATGGACGCGCTCTGAAGGGAGGTTGTCCCTCACACGCCGTACTAAGTAACTGCAGGAAGGCACCAGCGCCATCCTGGGGCGAAAATCGAAGTGATCTTATGTCCGTCATGTCCTGGCCCAAACAGTTGCAGCTTCCTCTCCACTATCCAGTTCCATAGCTTGGCAACTTGCATCAGCAATGGGAGTTGAATTCTTCTCTGGATTCTCATGCAGCTCAACTTCAGTTGACCGCACCGGACGGGACCTTCCAAAATGAGTTCCACATGTGGCAAACGTCGAGCTCTAATCAACCAGTCATCGAAGAGTTCCACACCCTCCATGCGCAGTCTCTCCTTGCACCGGGCAATGATGGCATCATGCTCCTCAGGCAGAACCTCGATGCCTTCCACCCTTCTTGTCATGAATATACCTGGCATCTGGATCCAAGTCTTTCCAAAGAAAATACTGAGTGTTCTCCTCTTGCTCTCCAGGCTTCACTGCAATCTCCTGCCCCACACCGTTCACAGAGTCCACCATATGGAAGAGCAGAAGACCTCCGTCATTCTCAAACGTCATGGCATGAGACGCCCACTTCTTGGCGACTTGCAGGGTCACGTTGCTCCTGCTGCGCCCGTAGAAGAAAGGCATCGCTGCTGTCCACCCAGCCCATCGTCGGTTCAAGGATGCTTTTGGTACGAGTCAAATCCACCGCCTCATGGGTTTCCCCACGAAGAACTAGGGCCACCTCGCGCCCACACAGGTTGCCACACAGGGTCTGAATGCAGCTGGGCCTTGTGGTGCGGGCCGGAGCTGGAGCCCATGGAGCTGGACACCAATTGGTGTAAGCCGGAACCGTTGGAGTTCTTCAGCGACTGCGGCATCCAAATCCCAGACAGCATGGCCAAGCCTTAAACTGCTGGGACGTCCAACAACGCTTTGCCGCCAATATGTTCTTTGTTCTGCAGCTGAGCAGCTGATTGAATGTGTGTTTTTGTGGCATGATGGTCTAAGTTTCCAAAACCACATGGCACAGCGACATCA